CGCATATTTCGTAGGAATAGCATGTTAATAATCGTATGCTATTAAAAGAATTTATTATTATTATAGTAGTAATCGTTAATAGCTCGTTATTTTTATTGGACAAAATTGAAGAATTTTACGAAGTACAATTTTTGCGTAATTAATTTCGAACTTTTCAGTTATAAAACATTTGATACCGTAATCTAAGAAACGTGTTTTTACGACATGTTCCATGGCTTGAAAGTTACGGTGTATTTCTCGTGCACGCGTCGTACGATGAGAAACCTTATATCTCCTATATGTGATACCTGCTGACAAGTATGTTAAGGTTCATAGAAAAAGAAGAGTCAAAGAGAGTGTAAAGGGATCGTTTTCGCTACAGAAGACGATCACGTCGTCCAAACGACCCCTGATGCGTGAAATTTATGCATTATAATTTATTATTTCCATCGCATTTCGCTATCTCCATGAAATTAAGGGAAGATTCTCGTATAATAGCTTAAGAACTATCTGATATTTATGAATTTTGTTGGCAGAGAATAAGGAAACATATTTAAATTACAGAAAACAATTTATTCATGTCGATATTTTGTATTATTTATTAATTAATCCAGTATCTTGTTAATCTCCTCGACGATGTAAACCCTGTTTGCATCTTATGTAACATATGGCAAAAAACAAACAATTTTCTTAAAGTTATATAGTTTACATTTCCTGTTTTCTTTAGATAAATTGAGTTTATATCGATGCAAAAAAATATTAGAAATTACAATTTTAAGTTCAGTCTCTTAAGAAATGTGTGACTAATAGAATGAGTTGCACTGCTTGGAATTGATCAGTCAATTACGTTTTGAGTTCTCCTAGACGCAAATTTGAATAATATGATTTTGAGAAAAACGCGTTTAAAGTTTTTAATGAAATTTTAAGATATTGCTTGTTGTTTTTCTGTTTGACACGTCTCACAAAATAGTTCGTAACTCGGTTACTTTTGGACATTCGACCTTAAAATTTTGGGAATTTATATTTAACACGTATTTCCGATTTAATCAGTAAGATTAAAAATGAGAAGTAGGAGAAATCGATTTTTTAAACCTGTTACACGAGAATTCGCTTTTAATGAGTTTCTTAGTCGAATCAAACGAGCGTTTAAATTAAGAAAATGGCCAACATGGTATCGAATATTAAAGACAAAAGCGTCTTCAATGCGGAAATGATTTATTGTGACGTCTCATTTAGTAAAACGACCGGTCCTAGATTGTTTGGAGAGAATCGATCGCACATCTCTGCTGTTGATATTGTTTGCCAAAGACAAACGCCGCGAGACAAAACTGACGGTGATAATTCGCTACATACTATCACCTGGAAGCGGGTGAACAGAGACGAACGACCGACTTCAGGCCTTTCACCCCGGTATAATTTTGCCCGACTTTCAATCTCTTTCCCACGTACTCAACCTGTGGCCTCCATTGTACCTGCTTACATTGCGAATAGTTGTTACTAAAATGTCATTATCGAGAATTCTACGGAGTCTACTATAATTCTAGGTTCGTTAATATTCTTGGGAGAAACGATTGTTCATAAACATATGACAGGTAAATTGTCATATCTTAGAAACAATTGAAGCGAGGAAAAGTAAAGTATGTGTGGTGTGAACGGAGAAAACATCGGTTTGTTGTGTACACTGAGAATAAAGAAATAAAGAAAGTTTTGCAGTGGATGAAATTTCAATAAGAATTTGACTATTTTGAATGAAACTGGCAAAAATTTTCATAATAATAATAAAGAAATGTTGAGAAATAATTAGACAATAATAGAAAGCAAAGAAATAATGTATAAAGTTAAAAAAATTTTATTTCTGTTGTCAATATTACTATTTAACACACAGAAGAGTAATGAAATTTGTACAATTAAATCTGTTTCAAGAAACTAAATTTGTAATGTTAGTAACTGGTACTGCCACAGTTATGTTTAATTATCTCAAATATTTTGTAATCTCACATAATGACTAACTTTTATAATGTTGATTTCCCGATTTGGTTTCACTTGTATCTTACTGAATTCTCTAACTGCTTAATGTCGTTATATTGTCTCTTATTTTTGTATATTGCATGTGACAAATTTTCTACTGGATTCAAATTAGAGAAATTTTTAAGTCCTTTTAGCATTATATTTTGCTGAAAAATAAAATTGTCTTCGTGATTTTCTTTGATAAAACAAATCAAAATGTTTTCGAAAGTATCGATATATTTTTTTGTTTTCATTCTCGCAGAAAGGACCCCGCAAAGATATTATGAAAAATGGCCCCCGGTTAAATTAGCTGAACTTTTTCTATGATGTAGTTCATGATGTCTTGATGAAAAGTTCCAATGGGCCCAAGCTCGTAAATTGAACAGTTTTCGAGATACCTGGGATCAAAAGTCAATAATAGTGCGCCTTATTCTAGACTACCACGTTTCAAAATATTTCAGTGTAAGTAGCACTATTGTGACACTGTGGGGCCTTAAATATTACCCCTTGACCCCCTGACCCTCTGATTCCCATTCGGGAGTCAAAATAAAAAAACGCCAAAAAGGTAAACAATTTTATTATTTTTTATAAACACTATTATTGACTTTTGATCCCTGTATCTCGGAAACTGTTCAATTTACGAGCTTGGGACCATTGGAACTTTTCATCAAGACATCATGAACTACATCGTATCAAATGTTCAGCTAATTTAACCGGGGGCCATTTTCCATAAGATCTGTGCGGGGTTCTTTCATTTATTGCATTTTAAAATTATACTTAAATGTAATCATCTCCCTTAAAGTTCTACTGCCAAAATTTCTACTCATATCTACGTTTTCAACTTTGCGTAAATTATGCTTATAATGTTTAAATTGATCGGGACCATCGAGATTAAATTTATTCTCATCGAAGAATATTACAAATCTATTTAATTCTTCATTCTAGGTTATGTGATTTTTCGTGAATTCTAATCTTACAGTTATGCCCTTCTGAGTAAGAGATGGTTTCGTTAAATGTTTAATTCATTTTAATCGTGTATTTTAATGTAATATCCGCACATGTTAGATACTGACAATTGCAAAATGAAAATGTCGTGTCAATTTTGTCTTGCCACTTGTGTAATGATTTTTGCCATATTTGTCATGTAATTGTTGAAAATGATACACGCAAGTACTAGCTCTAAATAATCTTGTTTACTATTTCTCAAATGGAGAATTCTGTATCGCGGTATGCGTTTATTTTTATTTCCTCTTCAGAATTCAAGGTTTTTCCTCTAATACAAGAGGAATTATTTGCAAAACATTTGTATTTTGTATTCGTGATGGAACAAACCCCAGGAAAATATACTATTCTTGTACGAATTGCATTCTTGCCTCTGTCAAAATTTAAGTATTTCTGTTCCTAAAGTGAAAACACGCGAGCTTGTTTATATGCACTGTTTCATAGTAATTATACAACAGTATTCGTAAGGTTTTCAGATATTATTATCATATATTTATAGGACTAATGAACTTTTGGTAGTAAATTATTCCTATAGAAATTTCGTACACTGTTTACAAGGTGAGACACCTAAGAGAGCAGCTCGAGTATTTCTCAAACGTTGAAAATTCAAAAATCGTAACTCTATAATGACAACATGTTAATTATTAATAATTATGATTCGTGGATTGGTAGAGAAAATCATTATCCAACGTTTCCGAAACTATGTAAGTCGTTGGTAACTTCGAGGAAAAACTGTACTGCATCGATATCAGTTTATATGAAAATTCATACGTTAGTGCATTGACATACTTAGAAATATTAGAATACAGTTGCATGGACCGAACGACTAAATGTAACGATGTAAAAATTAGTTTTTTCTTATTTTTTATATCTCAGAGGCATTGTATTATGAATACGATTATGCAGTTTTTTTCTTGACGAGATTTTTACGATTAACCAACATTAGTGACAATTAGGTTGCCTCTTCTATATGTGTTCGTTTTGTATTAATTCCTTAATGGTTTAAAAACTCCTGTTTTCTAATAGTTTAGAGTTCTGGCTTTTAAAAATAGGCGTATTGATGACTATTGAGCAATTACACAGAATTGAAGCATATATAATTTTGTGAACCAACAGTTAACAGTTTGCGAAATTTTTAATGTTGAAACACAATGTTTATTGCTATCTGAGGATTGGACGTATCTGGCAAGTCATTTGCCTTGAACTTTATTTATCGTTTGGACTTTTTCCTTAAATATAATTTTGTTTATTGTTTATATTCCCTTTTTTTTTAAATTGTCAGAGTATTCCCTGTTATTTACGTTCAAATTTTTAAACTAAAATTTAATTAACACCAAGTTTAATTAATAATACCGTTGTAGTTAATATACTACTAAAAAATATGTTTTAAAATGTGACGAAAGTGTATTCGAGAAACAAATGTAAAGGTTTGTATAGTAAACTGTTACATATTACATCTATGCAGCTGGCGAAAGGTTTGCAGTGACAGAAATTTATGGAATTGTATACAAATTTTTGGTTAACCGTTAAATAATGGAAAAACCACTTGTCCATAAAGAGAAATGAGTAAAAATACACCCCAAAATATCGATACTTTTCTGCCTAAACTTTTTAAAATTGTTTAACCGAAGGGTATCTTTTGACACCGTTGCAAATTATTGTGGGAATAATTGATAATACAAATTATGTTATTTTTAATATTATGTTATAGGTCATTGTATTAGGTACCTTTCCCCGTAATTGTAAAGTCTGTATGTAAATGTACATTGTAGTAACATTTACGTAGAATATCAGTAGTACATAAATTTACTTGCAAATACTAAAATTCTTGAAACTCGGTATGCGACCAAAAGTCATATTTTGGTAGGATTAGGGCAAAAAATGTTTACTTACTAAAGCTTGAAACTGATTCGAAATGCATGGCCACGGACAATTTTGCGATTGGTTCCATCGAAAGATGGTTACACTAGGTCGTGTAACTATCGAAGACTAATAAATGTACTTTTTTTCAGAAATAAGGCGATCGCGGACTACCTCAGCACCAATGGTTATCAAGATGCACTTGAGGCGTTCAAGAAAGAAGCCGATATGCCTGGGGAGGTGGAGAGAAAGTATGGAGGTCTTTTGGAGAAGAAATGGACCTCGGTCATACGCTTGCAAAAGAAGGTAACAAAATTATACCATTTGGAACTCTATATTAATACATTTTGCATTACTTTCGTATTAACTGCGTTTCATAATATACATCAATACTGGTGAGTTTTTATTTAGAAGGAAAGAAAGTTACATGAAACGAAGAGATCTATGTGTACCGTGCACATTAGATCCTTTTGATGTTATTTAGCGGACAATATAACTGACATTTGTCAAGCATCCATGTAAAGCGCTACTATATTATGGAGCTGATTTTGAATAAAACTTTCAACTCATTATAAGTCTGATTTGCAATAATTCTTGTGAATGAAATAATAAAATGTTCTTACACCATGCATCCCGCCACCATTGTTTGATTAGAATCTTTCAGATTTCTTCATTTGGAATTATTTAAATATTATTAGATAGAGGGTGAACCGTTACAAGGAAAGAATTTGCAATTTGTATAATAAGTGTGTTCGAATTCATGGAGACGTACATAGATTTGCAAGACTCGTGTAACTTTTCTTTTTGAATTTGCTCTAGAATCCACAAAATATTTGCATGAACTCGTAGAATACTTTAACCCAGCAATTTCCGTGAGTTGGACTACATGTTTGTATTCATGCCACGTGTTTCCTTTATATTAGGAACACGAGTTCCTTTAGGTAACATCAGAAACATAACATCACAAAATATATAAAAGAAATCTTAAGAAACACAATACTTATGATAATTCTAATTTTATTTCGGATTATATAAACCCAAGCATGGTTAAGGAAGACTAGCTTCATGGTTACTTATAATAGCTTCGTGTATAACGACAGTGCGATGAAACGCCAAGCAAGACGCGTGATTGAAATGTTAATGAATTGTTTACTAAACCGCAGGTAATGGAACTGGAATCCAAACTCTCCGAGGCAGAGAAAGAATTCATCGAAGGAGCACCGACACGAAGCAAACGATCGCCGTCTGAATGGATACCAAGGCCACCTGAAAAGTACAGTCTCACTGGACACAGAGCTCCTATCAACAGAGTTATTTTTCATCCAGTTTTTAGTCTTATAGTGTCTGCTAGCGAAGATGCCACCATTAAGGTAAAAGAATCACTCTTTTTAAACACGAACGGGCTAATGAACAGGAAGTCGGCGAAACTAAATGGTTGCTATTTCGAAAGAAATCTATTGTTACAGACCTATCAAACTTTGACATTTTTATTAGAATTATTTATTTCATTTTGAGGGTATACAATAATTCTATTACATCATTCAAATTCAAGCTAAAATGTTAACAAATGATGTTTGTGACTTAAAACTGACGGATTGCCCAAATTTAGTGTTAAGAAAACAAATTTCTAGAACTTGATTGAATTTGAATTTTATTTCCAAAAAGGTGAATATGATATGCAAAAAGATTAATTTGGAGTGCAAAAACTGCATTTGTAGTATAAAATGTAAATGAAATCTGTAGTATGACATAATATTTATTATCAAGGGGCTATGAATGTCTTCTTGACTAATACTTAACTTGACAAGTTAAAAGAAGTGATGGGGGTACTTGCAATATTCGTTTTTTGATAGCAACCAGTTACTTTCGCCTGTTCCTACTTGTCGTCTTGCAAGTTAGTCTCGTTAATTCATATTGAAACTGGACTTGTAATTTGCTATTGTTTGACCAGGTGTGGGACTTCGAAAGCGGTGAATTTGAAAGAACGTTGAAGGGACACACTGATAGCGTGCAGGACGTTTCATTCGACGTCTCCGGTAAACTGTTAGTCTCTTGCAGTGCGGACATGTCTATTAAGTTGTGGGACTTTCACCAGTCATTCGCCTGCGTGAAAACCATGCACGGACACGATCACAGTGTCAGCTCCGTTGCATTTGTGCCACAAGGGGATTTCGTAGTGAGCGCCTCTAGGGATAAAACCATAAAAATCTGGGAAGTGGCGACAGGTTATTGTGTTAAGACATTGACGGGTCACAGAGAATGGGTACGGATGGCCAGAGTCAGTCCCTGTGGAGAACTGATCGCTAGTTGCTCGAATGACCAAACAATACGAGTCTGGCATGTAGCAACGAAGGAAACAAAGGTATCGTTAAATCGCTATGTTATATATAAGACTCACATTTTAAATTATTTTAGTAGCTTGCATATTGTGCCCTCAAAATGTATCTGCATTTACATCGTACATGATCATAGCTCTTTCAAAATTATCTTTCTACGCGGTCGTGACATATCAAATAATGTAACTTTACTCGCAATAACAATTTTTATACGAACATATTACATACTTATTTGACATTATTGAGTTAGTCATTTTGTTGTGCATGAAAGAATATTCAAGTTATTAGTAAAAAATAGGAAGCAGAGAAAGCGTTACAACCGTTCCACACCCTGGGTCGAGAGTCACAAATGTAATTTTAGGAAATCATGATATTAGTTGCTTGAAACGGTATAAAAAGTTATTTTCCTCATTATGTAGATATTTATTACGTATCTATACTGCTATGGTAAAGGGATGTGTTTTAAACGTCATTTTACGTTATGGGAGATTTTAATTTTAATGGGAGATTCTAGAGACCAAAATAAGACGAAAATCAACAATACCAATTTGTTGATTGAGGCTTCGTTAAAAAGTTATTAACGTTTAAAGTTCCGCCTGTAGAACGGTAATCTACGAACAGCTGCGTGCGCGCGGAAGATTATGGCAGGCCAGTGTAAGTGGTTCTCATGCAACATCCAGAAGGACATATCAAAACTCGACCGACGAAATTTTCGTAGAGAGAGGATGAATACCACTTCCAATACCAATGTTGTGCATAAGAATCACCCACACGCGAGCATACATGCTCCCATAACTCTCTACAGTGTCCGCGACTGTCCACAAATAATCCTTTCAACACTAATCACTATGCCATAAAATAAACACGCACCGCGATTATGTTATATGAGGCGAGTGTCGATAACGTCGGTAAGTAGAATTTTTCATGCTGCATGAGAACCACTTACACTGGTCATCTGGTTACACCAGATTGCCGTTCTACAGGCGGAACTTCAAACGTTAATAACTTTTTAACGAAGCATCAATCCACAAATTGGTATTCTGGATTTTCGTCTCATTTTGGCCTCTAGAATTTTCCATTAAAATTTTTCCCAGGGGTGGCCAGACACCCTGTATATTTTAATATATTTAATGTTTTACGACAGCCCCCAGCCTCTTCTACTTGCAAATAGTCTTGCTTGCACGGGTAGATGGAGTATACTAGTGCCTACAATGTTTTTATTTACAACAAATCGAAAACTATTTTACACCTTTTTGCTGATACGAAAAATCTTATGATAGATAAAGAAATCTTTATTGATTTCAATATAGATTACAAAGATTCTGTTTTCACGTTACAGCATTTGTACCACGTTTCAATTCCTTCTGTTCTTACTCTAATTTCACTAATTAACCCTATTAAAACAATAAAGAAAATTGTTTGCGCCAAACACACTTATGTTCATACAAAAATATGTATGCAATCCACCTACACACACACATTCCCATATATGTATTCCTCCACGCACCATATCCATTAATAAATAAACATTGAACAAAACTAAACAACATAATACGAGACACGATCCCACCGTTCTTGAAACTTAAAATGACTTTCGCACGACAGTTCCTTTAAATACACCCTTTTATCTTATTCTCCAAACGCTTCAACCAGCCTTCACCTTCACCTTGGCCTTCCTTTCCTAAAATTCTTCCTACGTTTACCTATCATACTCTTCCTACTTCTACTTCTCTACGTTCACAGACCTATCACATGTAGTTCTATGTTTCTTTCTCTAATTCACATAATGTGCATTTTTTTCCCTCTTCAATTAGCTGTATGTACACTCTTTTACCGCAATTCTTTTTAAAATACCTTAGTAACTTACAAGGAATGTTCGCGAATGGTCCAGCTTCGAGTTTGATGAAACATTGTTCACTTATAAAGCAGCCAAAAATAATCGACACGTATTTTCTTTAGCTGCACTAACTCGCGTTAAAGGGGTAAAACCAACCCTTGAAGTTTTGGCTCGAAACGGCTATCTCGAAAACGGAAAGACATATGAAAAAATTGTTAATGGGCGAGGTTAATGGTTCCTTATGTACAATAACATGGTGTTAAAAAATTTAACAAAATACAATTTGTTTATAACAACAAAAATTTATTAACTTAATTTTTCATTTTATTGAAATTTTCATGACAGAAAATCTCTTACAGTTTTGCAGATTTTGATGAATTACAATAGTGACTAGTTTCATTAGTACAATTTTATTTTTAACATGTGCTGTGAGAACTCTTTATGTAAAGTGGGTTAATAACAGGACACAAGCTATACTTAAGTAATGCCCAATTAATATAGAAGGATAATATTTACAATAAAACGTTTACGCGTATACGAAAGAAAACCATTCTGTTGTGAATTCGTGTGAAGCAGAAAGATTTCTAAATTTAATTTATGACTTCTTTTATGTGCGCATTTTCCTGTGAAAGCAACGATAAGGAAGGTAGGGTATGGAGGTTTCACGAGTTTCCCTTCACCTGATAAAAGTTTTTCGTTGTGTTGTCTCGTATTTTAGATTTTATGATTATCGATCCGCTCTAAGATTTGGTTAAATTACTTCAGTTGTTTTTTCGTGGCGCGATAACAGACAGTTATTACTGTGTTTACGGATATACATTTTAAATCATATTAATATATACAATTAGGAGAGTCTGATTTCCTATGTGTTCATTTTGATGTTTAGGCATTATTGCAACAAACAAAATTCGAATTACCCGAAGACGCTGCAGAGTATGTACTAAAACAAAAAAAGTAATTTTACGGGATTCATGTGTTTACATTATAATGAATCATATTAATTGTTAAATGTAGGTTATAATTTTCTCAGAAATTAATCTCTCGGTATTACATCAGGCGTTTTTATCTACTTATTTGAACGATAAATATTTTCTGATATAGGAAGGTCGAATGATTTTATGAAGTAATTGATAAGCATGTACGATCTGATGTCATACAAGAATAATAGTATGATGTGAACATTCGTTTTTTAATATTAGATAATAAAAAAACAATCACTAAGCAATCGATCTTATTAATCACACCGACTGATTATTAGGATGTTTGTATGTATTTTCAGGGATATTGTAGAATTTAAGACCTTTGCAGAAGATACTTTGAATATTTTCTTTAATCAGTGTGGCGACTTGTGACCTCCAAAGGTTCTAAACATTGAAATTTACGAATATATTTTAGATTTCGCTAAAATTACAATTTAAATAGCAAATGGTAACTAATTTTACGCATGACGGATATAGTCGTCATCACATATGTATAATACTGCCATTTCTCTATGACGGATATAATCGTCAAACATAGTTGACTGGTTAAGAGAGTCTTCTACTTTCAGAGTCGAAAAAATAAATCATTTTTAGGAATTTTTTCAAAAAAAATCATATAATTTTTTACAAGACTGTTCCGTTGTTTTTTAAATTATTTTTTGGATATATGCATGAATTTTTTTATTACAAATAAATAAAAATTGTAGAAGTTATAAAAGAATAATTACGAGGATGCAGTTATGGTCTGATCTAAATAAAATCAAATAACTTCAGTTTTGAGAAAATGACAACACCTTAAAGTCAAAATATCGATCTTCGACAATTTTTTTTGCTGTTTATTTGCAATTTAAATGTAATTCGATAAGAAAGTTATGTCATTTTTGTCACATTATGGTAAGAAACAGTGTTATATTAACTGTATGTATTTTAATCATCATTGGAATAAGCAAATCAGAGTAAAACTTATATTTTATTACTGTAGGCAAGAATCAGAAATATATTTATATACAAACGTGCATCGATCCCATAATTTGTTGAATTTTGCATTTCCATTGCAAACGATGCATGTGTTCGATTTGTTTTCAACATTATCATTAAGAAATTGATTTGGAGAACCACTTTTATCTTTAAATAAGTAGATATATCATTTTGCTCTTTGTATTTGGTTTTTGTCTAGTTTTCATTTTATTTTCTACTATAAACTTGTTTGTCTTCCCTTTTGGTGATTTATTTTTTTTCGTTAAGTTTTTTCTCTTCTAATCATCTGAAATAGTCATGTAAGGACTACTACTTATTATTTTTGAATATTATTTATTGAAATGCCTTCTGATTTTACTTTTACTGTCATCCTTATACGTTCTTGCGCAATTTTAAACGATTAAGGGAACAATTATTTTACACTATTTATAAGGGGTAATGCCGATTATCATTATCTCAAATGAACTTTTCTAATTTAAACTACGTGGTTGAAAAACCCATCGATCATTTTAAGGCAAAGAAGTACGTATAGAATATTACTTACGTATACTTTAACTATAAAGAGCAACAATTTGTAGAAATACATATTTTAAGCACTTATAATTCACCTGGGAGGACTTTAAAAATTAAAGTAACTAAGTGTAAGAATGATATCCGATCTGTTTATAGGTATTCTACGCGAAACATGCACTGAGCAACGACAAAGTATATTAGCCGTAATCATGTACCTCCACGTACCAAATATACATATTTGGTTCTCATTATACTGTCGTTCTCATTTCGCCGCGTTCCCTTAAGTCGCTGGTTTAGTTATACAGAGTGTTCGACCACCCCTGGGAAAAATTTTAATGGGAGATTCTGAAGGTCAAAATAAGACGAAAATCAAGAATGCCAATTTGTTGATTGAGACTTCGTTAAAAAGTTATTAACGTTTAAAGTTCCGCCTTTAGAACGGCAATCCGCGAACAGCTGCGTACGCGTGACAGTCGCACAGGCGGAACTTTAAACGTTAATAACTTTTTAACGAAGCTTCAATCAACAAATTGGTATTCTTGCTTTTCGTCTTGTTCTGGGCTCTAGAATCTCCCATTAACATTTTTCCCAGGGTTAGCCAAACATCCTGTCTGTATACCAGCCAAGACAAAATTCGTTGCAGTACAATGCATTGACAGTGTCTTGTTTTTGGTCTTCAGGTCGAACTCAGAGATCATGACCACGTAGTGGAGTGCATCGCATGGGCACCAGACAGTGCAAGAGCATCGATCAATGCAGCAGCAGGAGCGGACAACAAAGGTGCCCACGAAGGACCTTTCCTCGCATCTGGTTCGCGAGACAAAGTAATCCGCGTGTGGGATGTCGGTGCCGGCGTTTGCCTGTTCGCACTACTCGGACACGATAACTGGGTGCGCGGCATTGTTTTCCACCCTGGTGGCAAGTTTATCGTCAGTGCCTCCGACGATAAAACCCTGCGAGTCTGGGACACGCGCAACAAGCGAGCGATGAAAACCCTTGAGGCGCATGTCCACTTCTGCACCTCCGTTGGTGAGTAGGATTCGAAACGGCTTTGTACCTTACAACTTACAAACTCGAAACTCCAAGGATATTTACCAGGAAAAGACCTCAAGTGTAACGTTGGACCCTTTAGATTTGGGCAAATTTTATTCTAAAACAATGACTACAAATTTTACATTCATTCGTAAACTAGCTTTAATCCGCAGTATCGGTCATCCGGATGTTGATTTAAATTAAATTAAATCTTTGTGACCCTTTAATGGGTATTTTCAACAAAAGGGCTTAATCTATCGGAACTAATAATACGGTAGAACGACAATTAATCAAAATGTTGGTCATTGGAAAGACTGATTATCACTGGGCAACAAATTGTAAACAATAGTTTGTATTCTTTATGATCAAGCTATATTTCTATTTATGTATGTATACTGAAATAGGAAGTAACAGAAAAAGAAATTATTTGGCTCTGGTTTGAAAAATGTAAAGTATGATTTATTTAATTCAAGTGTAGTACATTAATGTATGTACATGATAGAATGAAGCATATTTTTTTTAATTTGTTACGTGGAGTTTTGATGACATTGAAACTAATTGAACTATATAGATTATTATGTCTTTGTTAATTCACCACAGATTAGGAAATGATAAATTTACTAAAATAATGGAGCTGAAAATATTACGTTTGCATACGTTTAAGTTTACTTAATGTCGTTTGCGTTTAGGTTTCAAAAGTAGTATCAAAAAATTGCAGATCAGATAAAAGACTGTTTGATATAAAATGTAAACGTTGGCAGAAATAATTCTTTCCATACATATTTGCAGTTGCCCATGTTATTAGAAATGACGAGGTAAAATTTAAGATAGACTTTGAAAAAGGTCCAATTTTTCTTAATTCATTTTTAGGAAGTAACGTGTAGTAACTTTAAATAACAAAATAATGATTTGTTCGGTACTTTTTTAAAGTATGTTAATGTTCGAACCAAACAAGTTTATGTACTGCTACATTACAAAATTGACAAACATATCTAATAGTATCTATATCTATTCGCTTTGTTAGCAAAACATACTCTGACTAGAGTAATTTGTGAATGTCATAATATTATTAATATTATCTTCTACGTCATTATTACAAATACCAAAATTGCTTTCTTCTTCTGAGATCTTTTACAGTATTGCTTATTTTTAATTATTGAAAACTGTATATTCTACAGGTTGAAAAGATACTGAACGAACTCAACATGACTCCAGATCAATGGTGACCAGAAGGCAAAATTATTTGTTGTCTGATTATGTGTATAGCCATTGTTCAAGAAATCTGTTTGATTATCAAAAAAGAAAATATCGCTATTGTTGCTCCAAAATTTCTCGTCAGAAAGACCAATTAGAATTATAGGTAATATCAGCCTCAAGTAAGCAGTATATTTTTTGTAGTATTTACAGAAAATTTTACAACGGTTTGTTGTCGTAAATAATCAAAATGAGTAATGTTTCCGAAATAATTTATCGGATCTGATTTTGAGAGTGTTCCACAATATATGGAAGTACTTTAATGGTTTCAACTCTTTTGGCACAAATTTTATAATTTGTATCTTCTATAGTCGATCGATGACTATTTCGATTAAAGTGTTTTTTGACATCTTTGCATTTGGACGCAAATAACCGTGGAAATAATTGTTAATGCGAATTATGTTTAATATTATGTTATCGAGGAAAAATGACTAAACTTAGAAAATAATTTCTAAGGTGGAATCAACTTTTTAAACTCGAATGTAATTAATAGTTTACTCGGCCAATAAAAAACGCGTACCTCTTTAAACTTTAATATTATATATCTCGTATACAATTAACTATTAACAAGCAACGTTACACTTGGGGGGCCTCTTCTTGTTAGATTGTACCATAACTGTGTATTATCACAGTAATTAACTGATCAAATCATATTTGATACTTCACATGAATACGATTGGTTATTTTAATTACATAATAATTTAAGATACATATTCCTATTTTGTTGAGAAACTTTCCCTATTCCAAGGTTACTTAGTTTTAACGACAATTTAATTTTTTTGTTATAAAATGTATACTTTCATCGTGAAGAAGGTGCGGTTTTAGTACCGTTGGATGAAAAGTTTGTTATTTTTACTTGACAAGTCTTGTTTTTATAGACATCTGCACTTTTGCATAACCTCTGGATATTTAAAGAAACCTACCTGCTTCTCAGAGGACATAATGAGTTACATGCCTACATCTGCTTTCCGGTTTCCGAGGGAACATCGGTGAAAGTGTGCACTTTTTAAATTCGTTATTTATGAAAGTGATGCAAGTCCGTTTTTACAACCAAAAATATATTTTTCTTCCAGTCTAAAGACTATATTCTTCTATATCCTTTAAACATTTGATAAATTTACTTATTGTTGATTGCTGAAAGCATACAAATCAATTAGCTCTTGTCAATATCTTTCTATTTTAAAACAGAAATAAATCTTATTCCACTTTCATAATGAACGGCTATTAACATTTATTTTTTTTTAAACAAGCATATTTTCTCGTATCAGAAAAAATCCACGATTCATAAGGATTTAGTATTCATCCTGAATCGTACGACATTTTAAAATAAATGTTTGTCTTTTTACACGAGTCATCGTGTTGATCAATGGATTACAATATCGATCACGTAACGCTTCTTAATTATCTAGTCATCGCTATAGGTAATGACTAGATAATTAAAACCTAGTGAAGATAAATCCCGTTATAAAACTCGCAATGTTTTTAAAGCCATTTTCGTGTGCGAAAGCATCTGGTTACTAAGAACTGTTTGTTGAAAGGTAAGTTTGTTCGTTGCCATTTAACACATAAATATATTAATAAAATTTGATTCCTACGTAAAGTTTTTGTTGTTGATGATTGTCTGCAACTTTAGTTTTAATAGGAAATACCACGTTTTGGAAAATAGAAGAAAACCTGAAGTAAAGGGTATAGCCGAATAAGGGGGTCAAATGTGCCCTTGAACGAAATGTGACATACGATAGATCCATCGATAGAGCATCAAGAAAAAATGTTCTGTGCCAAATTTTAACCCTCTATCTTGTTTGGAAGGGTAGTTATTGAGAAAATTCGGATTAACGAATTTCTGCCTATTTCCCCTATTTAATCGAGTAGAAAAATTATGAAAAAAATCTGGTGCATTGCGACTATTGAGATACGTGTTTGAGAATTTTTTCCGATTTTTCAATTTCAAATCCTAGGTGTGAAAAATTAAAAACGCAAAAAAACGCAGAAAAATACCGATTTCGTATTGAAGCTTTCGAGACACTAGATTTATATAATTACTGTAAATGCATATTGTCATTGGTTATGTCCCTGAATTTTTTCAGATTTTTTGGCAGGGTGCGCCGTAGTAGCAAAAATGAAAAACTGATTTTTTCGGCGTTTTTCGCGTGAAAAAGCAACTTATACTTTGAATTTTTGTATTCCCTTTAATAGATAACTATATTCTGTGGTTTTAAATATTTCCATGTTGAGTAAAACAGTGTATACAAGAAGAAAAGCAAAAATAAGTCAAGAAAAAAAACGTGCTATGCGCGTTGTATTCAGAAGTATCAGCATTATTTCCAAGAGCTGCGATGGTGCAGTGAGTAAGATGCTTGGCTGCGAGACTGCTGCAAAATTTTTGACGCGCGTTCGCGCCCTGCTACGGTACATTTTTTTTTATTATATTAATTTTTTTTTTTTCAATTTCTAACTAAACGACAATGAAAAACTATTAGTTTATTAATATTTAAAAAATATTTTTACCTAAAATATACGCAAAAACAATTATGGAGCAGTTTCTATTCCATCATTTCTCTAGTCGTATATTTGCTTAAATACCCTACTGTTTCATTTTTTCTACGTTAAATGAATATACGTACTTAGTTTTAAAATCGCATACCTTTAATAACTTTGAATAGTGGAAGAAGATTTCTTCAATAAAAAGAACATTAGCAGTCTTTGCATATAGTTACGGATATCATGATGACAAGATTTATGATGTGCAAGGTTTATGAATGTTTACGTCTATTGGCAGTCTAAATTACTTATTTTAGACGAGAAATTGTTCTCTTATTATCCATTTCCGTTACACATGTCCACATTTCAACAAAGGCGAATATATGTACCGTCAAAAATAAGTGCTAGCTGGTCTGTTATATTATACAACTGTTTAGCAATAATGGACGTTTCATTTTCTATTAAATGTTGACGAGAAAAAGCCGCGACTCCGAAATGATATGGTAAAATATCTTTTTCAAACGAGTTCCTAACTGCTTTACAAAAATCGGATACCTGTTGTTCGCGCTCTAACCCAAAAATTGAAGCTATCATACTATTCGAATTTCCAGTACGCAATTTAAATAAAAAGACAACAATAGCCTGTGTCACAGCTCGTTTTTCCGTATTTCTCATGGACTTCATCATTTCTCTAAGTTGAATTAGATTTTCCCAAGTTAATCCCGTGAATATTTTAAGACGTTCTTCTGATAATATAAAATCACCTATTTTATCTTTAATACTAGAATCACTACTAACTGCAAGGTATTCGAGTAAGAGAAATAAGTAATTTAGACTGCCAATAGACGTAAACAATCATAAATCTTGTCATCATAAATCTTGTCATCATGATATCCGTAACTATATGCAAAGACTGCTAATGTTCTTTTTATTGAAGAAATCTTCTTCCACTATTCAAAGTTATTAAAGGTATGCGATTTTAAAACTAAGTACGTATATTCATTTAACGTAGAAAAAATGAAACAGTAGGGTATTTAAGCAAATATACGACTAGAGAAATGATGGAATAGAAACTGCTCCATAATTGTTTTTGCGTATATTTTAGGTAAAAATATTTTTTAAATATTAATAAACTAATAGTTTTTCATTGTCGTTTAGTTAGAAATTGAAAAAAAAAAAATTAATATAATAAAAAAAAATGTACCGTAGCAGGGCGCGAACGCGCGTCAAAAAGTTTGCAGCAGTCTCGCAGCCAAGCATCT